CAGTGTCGGCTGCACCCACCCACCCACCCACCCACCCCTCCAGGGGCAGCTGTGCTGTCTGCAGTGTGTGCGCCTTTGTGTGCATACTTGTGTGCACGTGCCAGGCAGCAGCAAGGGACTCCTCATTGCTCTCCCCAGGGATGCAGCCATGGGGCTCCAGAACAGAAGCCCCAGGGCTGGGGGGGCCCAGGGGGCAAGGCTGGGGGTGTGGGGACACAGGCCTGGAGCTGCCTGGGGAGCACCCGCCCTGGTACCTTCTCCCCCCCTACATGCCCCCAGGCCCCTGTGTGGGGGGGAACAAGTGCAGGGGGCCCCTGATACACCCCCCTCCCCTGTGCTTGAGCCGCCCTAGCTGTGGCTGTGACCATGTGGCGGGCAGTGCCATTGCGGGACACGATTGCGTGTGCAGAATTAGCAGGAAATCACTCAGTCAGTCATGCAGGAGGGGCCCCGCGGGCAGCACCGAGGAGAGACCCGTGGGGCCGGGCAGGCCCAAACCCAGCCGGCTGGGCCTGGGGTGCCCGGAGCCAGCCAAGCCCCGGTCTAGCACACCTGTGCTCTGGGCCAGTCCTGCCCGCTGCCTGCAGCTGACCCGTGCCAGGACTGGCAGGTCACAGGGGGCATGAACAGGGCCCACAGCTCCCTGCTGGGCCCACGCCTGGGATGGCATCAACGCCCCAAGCCTACCACGAGGGTCCCAGGAGGGCCGGGGGCAGGGATGCGAGCACTACCCAGGCATCCTGGCTCCGGGGCAGCGCAGGAGGCAGTGGCCGGTTTGTGGGAGCGGGGCTGGCAGCTCCGTGGCCCGGGCCCCGTGGGCTCCTCCTGTTGGCGCTGCCCCAGCAGGGGGGCCCACGCCTGGGATGGCATCAACGCCCCAAGCCTACCACGAGGGTCCCAGGAGGGCCGGGGGCAGGGATGCGAGCACTACCCAGGCATCCTGGCTCCGGGGCAGCGCAGGAGGCAGTGGCCGGTTTGTGGGAGCGGGGCTGGCAGCTCCGTGGCCCGGGCCCCGTGGGCTCCTCCTGTTGGCGCTGCCCCAGCAGGGGGGATGGCGGGGTGGACCCGGCCTTACGTGTCGTAGAGGGTGATGGTCCGCG